AACAATGATATTAATCAATTAATTGATGAGATAATTGTGGATCTAAAACATAATAATTGAGATGTAATTATTCAATCAATTTAATTAATACGTGACCATTTATTAGAATGGAGGAGTCTTCAANAATTATTAACTTTCCATTTTTCTCCAACGTCTACGGTTTTAATATATATATATATATATATATATATATATATATAAAAGATATATAAGATTGTTTTGAATTGACATTGGTTGGAAATTACTTAGAAAACCGTGATAGTAATCGTAGTGGAAGGCACAAGGCATTGATTATGTTAGAGATTTTAATTTTTATCTATGGGCAAAATTACAGGGGGGAAAAATACTAGTACTTTATAATAATAATAATCGGCATAATGATGGAAAACAGAAAATTAGATAATGTCAAGGCAGCGATTTTAATTTCACAATTTCATACAACTCACAAGCAGGCTTGATAGTACTTCCTGGCAGAACAGAGACCGATTGAGAAGCACCACTACTTCAAAGAGTTGCTGTTGGATTTGGAACATATCGTTGTCGGTTCCATGAGTCAATCTTCTAAAGAGCATAGAAACATCAAACAAGGGATTTGAAGGATATTGTTTCACAACATTCACACACAACTCTCAAGTGGCAATGTTCACTCAAAAATCATCGATTATTGTTATTCAAACATACTTCTTTTTACTCCTATATGCTTTTTATATTGAACAATTACAAAGGTCAAAACTCAAACACCCATATATAAGTTCTAACAATTCCCATAAATCAAACAATAGTTCATAAAGAAATTGCCAAAAGCCACTGCTTGAATCCAAAGAAATTGCCAACTTTTTGCTGCTAACAATCTGACAAAGGATGACAACAATTTTGATTCTGTTCTTATATGGTCATTCAGTTATATCGGGGGGATAACTTCAAATTCCCAATTGCCAAACTAATCCAAAAATTAGTACAGAACATTTTTCCCCTAAAGAAAACATTTAGTATACTAGTTACCGTTCTTCTTCTTTCGGATAATATAGACGTCAGTCTCCTCATAAGCATAATCAGGGTGCAAATCCTGATGAGGTACCTTCTCGATGACGAAAACTTTCTCAGACATTTCCCAAAACAGCTTATCTGCTTCCGGTGATCTCAGCTGGTACCCTAATAGAACCACCCCATCGTCCGCCACTAACGCCTCCATGGCCCCAATTAAGTGCCCCACCGATTCCTCGATGTAAACTACGTCAGCCGCGATCACCACATCGAACGGCGGATTAACGGCCCTGATCTGCTCCTTGTTGTTCCAGTAGAGAGTTGATGTCTTAAGGTTCTTGCCGAGCACGGGTTTGTTGCGTTTGAGGTTGTGTCTGAGAGCAGGCATCACTGGGGGTATGTCGGTAAGGATGAGGTCTTGGAGACCGAGCAGGTGGAAAGCCATGCCAGCGGCCCCACAGCCGGTTCCTAATTCGATCGCCCGGCGGCGGCGGCTGTGGAAATCGAGGAGATCGGAGTAAGGGTTTTTGTTGTCGGAGGTGGTGCTGGTTGTGGTGGAGGCGGTGGTGGAAGGAGATGCCCAGCGCTCGGCGAATTTGGCGAGGACTAAGGAACAAGGCCAAACGGAGGTGCCGACGTGGAAAGAGCCGTTGTCTTGTTGGATAGATAGCCGGGAATCGCGCACCTGCAGCTCTATTACCGGTGAGTCCGTGAATTTCATTTTTGCTTCTCTTTGTGCTTCCTTGTTCTCACTTCTCAATTCAATGGCTTCCCACTGGCAGAGGTTTTCAAGCTACTTTTTGCTGTTCCTGTATTTTTCATTTTTCCCCTTTTAACTTGGGCCGGTTTTGGTTATGCTAGAGCTTGGGTCGGGTTGGGTTGGTTTGGGTTTGGGAGAGTTTGTTCGGTAAGGACTAAAGGACTAGATTGGGTTGATTTGGGCTCAATCTTGGGCATGGTTAGAGTTCTTTAATTTATTTATTTATTTATAATAATGTAAGCTAAGCACTAAGTGGGCAACTGGAATGGATAGTTAATGATTTTGGGTTGTGTCTTTATACATGAAGGAGAATTTTACTACTTTGCAAAAAAAAAAATGGAGTATGAAACAGTATTACATTACCAAAATCATCAATTCCTTTTCTTTAATCAGCCTTTTTCCTTTCAACTCTGTAAAGTTTACAAAAGAAAAATGATCACTGTTCTGCTTTACTTTATTCTAAATCCTACCCCACTTGATCCATGGATGAATGTTTCTATTTCCGCCAATATACTCTTCCTCTAATTAGATGAAGATGATAGTTATGCATGTCGACTTTTGACTTGTTAGTTTAAAATGATAAGCATACATCAATGGTCCTTATTCTTTCAATAATGTTCTTTTCCTTCATGCTAGGAGAATTGCGAAATAGAGTAATTGTTTTTAAAAATATACTGTCAGGATTCCATCTTCATGTTCTGTTTTGATTTATGTGGTTTGTTGAATGCAGTTCAACAAAATCATTTGGCTTTTCAACAAAGGATTTCATCATCTTCATGCATACCACGACTAAATACTGTTTGCAAGTATTGCTTTCCAGTAAGTATTTATATGTTTCATTTGTTTGACATTTCTTGATATCAAAGGAAATATATATATATACTGTCATGCATGTGTCCATAGCTTACTTATTGTATAAGGAGTTTTATTAGGAGTGTGAAAGATTAGAATTGTTGATACTTTTGCCAGACAGACAAAATAACAAGTTATAATTGTCTGGCTTTGCTTCATTAGCTAGTAACTAGGCACATTGGCACAAGTCTTACCTTTTAACTATTCCTTTATACGAACATATATATACTTTCTTGGAAATTTTTGTTTCTTTTCTCAAAAGAATGTTAACTAGATTAGGGAGAAGTTAGTTGAGATTAGGGTGCTAATTATTTCGGTTACCTTAATTAATCAGAACTTAGTACTACTATGCTAGCTTTATGGAGGAATTAATCAATGATAGTCTTGACAATGAGGTTTTTTAGGAAAAGAAAAGAAATACAATACTATAAAAATTATATGACTCAGATTGATTATGAAGGATCCTACTTTTTTTTGTTTTACTGGATGCAAAAGTTGTTATTGACAACAGGAGAAAAAAGACTAAAAAGTAATTAGTAGCTCATAAAAGTGAGACTTTTACAGGGGAGGGATCTCTTTCCTTCTCTTTATCTCTGTTTTTGGGGTTCAAGAGGACGTGGACAGTGAATTAATCACAGTCCCAATCATTTCTAGGACTTACTTTTCTCAAGCCATTTAGTAAAACCCATGAAGAAGATTAATTGTATATATATGGGGTTTTAGAGCTACTTTCCCTTCCAACATATAAAGCGGCTGATTCACTATGAATATGCCATTTTTCCATATGTAGCAACACAATTATGACTCTTGACAAAAGAAAAGGAAAAAATTCAGTATGGGAAAGCAAAAGAAAAAGTCCCAGAAATCACGCTTTCCTTAGCACATGAAGCATATATCAAAAATTGTATTAGGGTTTCTCAATAATTGCTCAACCGTTTGAAAAAACACAAAAGAAAATTATTATGGTTTAAAAAACTTTATAAACTAAATAGGTTGTGAGTGAAAATCTAAAATGTTTTGTTAGGACTTGAGAAATGTGAGTAAAATAGGTCATGGGGCCATATATATATTATCAACAATATGTAGAATCAAATAAGCCACAAAGTAAAACTCTTATCCCTTGTCCACTTATGTGATTTGTATGTCTTACTCTGACTGACCCCATTCTATAGTTTTGGCACCGGCAATAAAGGCAGACATGAACACGAGGGGGATGGTGCACACCATGACAACTTTTTTCTTTCCCCTTGACATTTACCCACACATAAGTCATTATGACTCTTTCCGGCCAACATCAGATTTTGAAATCAACATTGCATATTTAAGTATACTATATACTTCCTGAATTTTGTGTGTGTATATATTGTGTCTTAGACCATGCATTCTTAAGCACTCACTTTATTCTGCAATTACAAGATATCTAAGAAACCATAGAAGCATTTGGGGGAGACAGATCAAAAGTTGGCTTAGAATAATGTTTAGGGAAGTAAAATTATGTATGTAATTGCTAGAAAAATGGAAGAAGTGATATAATAGAGAATAATGTTTCATACTAGAAGATATTAGTGGGGTACTTATATTGAAGCCATAGTGCTCTATTCTCTCCATTTTATTTTATTTATATTTATTTATTTTGCATGTTATGGTAGTGCCTAATCTTGTTATGGTATCTCAAAAAAAAATCTTGTTATGGTACAGGTATATTTGCATGGTTTGGTGAGGGAAAAAGAGATAATTATTAGATTAATTTAAGGAACAGGTCAAATTAAGCCCTGTTTGTGTGTACTAGAATAATTAAGCAAGAGTTTATGCATCTGGAAATACTCTTTAAAATCCAGTATGACAAGACAACAACCACAATAGAGATGGAAACAATGCAATAATGGAGCTCAAAAGGGTTTTTTGCTTTGCCCCCACTACTCCATCCCCTTTTATCAAAGTTAAAAAGCCACAATTTTTTAAAGGGATCAGCTTTCAAAGGAGAATATGCATGGATCTCTCCTCCATCATCTCTTCAACAGTTTCTCTAGGCAAGAACTTTTTAGCCCTCCATCAACCACTTACTATTGCCACTTTTCTTCCCTGCAAAGTCTCTCCAAATACTAAAATTCTGTCTCTCCCTTTCCATCTCTCTCTTTCTCTGACTCCACATCCAATTCCACTTTTATTACCATCAGCAAAGTTTCTCATCAAGAAAATATATTCGAAACCTTAAAATTTTTCCATGCCATTGTATCATATCATATCCATCCATTGATTGAAGATGGGTGACAGATGGCCTGTACACCAACACCCAAGAAATCTCTAGTTTGTCCTCCGGTGTCTTCATTCTGCATACGCCTTCGTTTTGCAGGGTACATTTGCAATTGATTCAATGTGGAAATATCATTTGCTGAATTTTCCAATTCACTTGCTAGAGTAGTTGAACTATAAAGACCATTATTGTACTTGTTCCCATCTTGAACTTGATTGTTGCTGCACTTTGTTCCGAAGCTTCCTAGGAATGATGTGTCAGTAGAAGTAGCACCAATTTGAGCCGCTTTCTGCAATAAAGCTGTTGCAGACATATTTGCTGATGGTGTTTGATGTTGAGTGTGGTGTTGGGTGCTAAATAATGAAGGAACACTCACAAGCGCCTGATGAGCTCCACTTTCCTTGTTGACAATATTGCTCAAAGGAAGTGAAGTGCTTGTCAGCTCTTCACCATTGCTAGTTGAAACCTTATTATTTCCAAACACCCAATTTAACTGATAATCTGATGCAGGAGGATTCGAAGTTGAAACAAGAGGATCACTGTATATTGATCCCAAATTCACAGAACCAAGTTGATGAATCTCTTGCAAACTTTTGCCAATTGCATCATGGCCTTGAGATGCTTGTCCCATCCATAAGGAAAGTCCACGTCTCGTTTGATCTAATGTTTCATCATTGCTAGAAATCGGCTTGAAAATAGAGGAAAAATGCTGTGCCATGCCGGGGGGAGCGGATTTGCCATGAGCTGATAGTTAATATTGGTGTTGGCCAAACTGTGGATGTTGGAAACAGCATTTACTCTAGCTGTTTCTTCAGCCAAGGCATCACAAAAAGCCCTATGCGTGATGAAGCTATCCCTTCTGCTCAAACAAAATTTATAAACAGTGTCTTAGAAAAATAATGTAAGATGACTATACAAAATTCAAGAAAGTAACATATTGGTAAGAAAAAACAAAATGTCCCCATTATGAAAAAGATAGAAATCACCAACATTATGTTTTATTTTTTTCTTGCATATTAATATCATCAATATCCTCAAATTCTTTGTCTTTACTTCCACTTTTGCTTTTTCTCTCCTTAGCTTAAGAGGACAGAGGGCGGTGTTTCTAACTATAGCCTGTCACACAGACAAAGATATAACACCCACAAAACAAAAAACAAAAATCATTTATTGTCAGGGGGGGGTGGGCTTCATTTTTTCTATGTTGATTTAATGTCTTTATATGGAATTTCTGGATTAATAGTTTTACTGTTGCATGAAGAAAGCGATGCTTTATCGTCTCTCACACAGACAAAACTACCAGAACCACAAAAATCATTTTCAGTCCCTATTCATCATTAGTCGAACTCCTACTATTTTAACCAAGGAGTGTTCCATCCAGCGGTAATTAGCGGCTCGTTCTAACTTTAACAGGTCTCACAGGTTTGAGACCTTCAGTAAGTAGAGTCGCCCACCAAACCTAAGTGTGTGATTCGAGTCCAATCCGGATTAGTGAGAGCAAGATACCAAGTGGAAAAAAAAAGAGCTACTAGTATTTTAGATTTCGTAAAATTTGCTAAACAAAAAACTTGTGTTTTAATTACCTTGAAAAAAGAGTGCCGCAGTCGCATTTGTACTCCCTGGTGCCGCAGGTTTTAGAGTGAGCTTTCCAATCAGACTGCACGGCGTATCGCTTGGAGCACTTGTCGCACTTCCACTTCTTCTCGCCATGTTTCCGACAAAAGTGTTTCTTAATACCAGTTAGGTCCCCGAGAGCCCTTGAAGGATGGTGATGCACGCATGTCTTTTCAGGGCAGACATAAACCCTTTTTCTTATTTCTTTCGTTGTCCTTTGCTTCAGCTTCCATGGAAGGTTATGTCCTCGCCGATGCAGTTGCAGGTTTTGATCTCTTTGGAAACCCTTTCCACATATTTCACACAAGAATCTGTTTGTTGCCATCAGTGTCTTCGGCGACAAGGCTATTACTTCTGCTTCAGGATCTGATCATATATAAAAACAAACCATTAATTATGATCATTCTGTTATTATAAACATGAAGAAATCAAATGGATCGCATATTATGTATATGAATACTTGCCTGGTGTTCCTGGTAGGTTTCTCTTCTTCTTTGCAAGTGGTGGATTAGATCCAGGAATGGGATTTTGGACAAAACCAGTTGAAATCGACTCTTCTGTCATCTTCTCTAGCTTCTTCTTCAACTCTTCTTCTTCGTCTCAGTTGACCCCAATCTATATATGTGAGAATTAAACTCAGGGAAAAAAGATAAGCTAATATCAAATGGAGAGTATATTATTATTAATATTTACCGGCATTAAGAGAAACTCAAAGAGACTGATGACTAGTATATTTTCTTATGCGTTTCTCAACCCTAACAACATAAGCTGATATATGCAAGGAAATGGATCTCTGTCTCTCTCACACACTAAAAAATGTGCAGTGATTTTAAAATATAATTACTTGCTTTTTAGGGGGAATAATTAAATACTCCTCTAGTAGTTTTTTGTTTTTTTTTTTTATGGGAGGCGGTGAAAAGTTAAAGTTGAGAGGTAAGGAAAGGAGGTTAGGGAGAGAGAGTGAGAGAGAGGGGGGGTGCGCAAAAACACAAAGGTGCATGATGACATATATGATGAGGTTGGAAGAAAGCTAATCTCTATGCTTTTTCCATTTGGAATGATTATCTCATAATTTGTATGCTTTTCGTTTTACCATTTTTCTAATCTCTGGCTGCCTCCCCCATCTGCATTTTTGAGTTCTACTTTTCATATGTATCATGTATGTGTATATTTGGTATCAAGTTTCAACAAAATTGAAAATTAATCATATGAAATGCAAATGTTTCAAGTATCCTTGCTAATAATTGAATTATTACATTTATATAATTTCAGGATGACCCATTCAAAAGGTAAAATTAATGTCAATTGGGTTCTTACAGACTCAACAAAAAATTTAGTTGTGGCAAAGAGGAGGGCTTCTTTTATTTTCTTTCCAAATTTAAACTAGAAAGACAACCGATTATATATATTCACTTACGAGTATGTAAGCATATAATTTGTAGCTCAAAGTTTAAGTAGTAGAGGATCTAGTTTAGAATTGCAATATCAAACACTAATCATATTTTTCTATAGCAATCTCATTTTTTTTTTCAAATTGAGATTTTTCTGACTGCAACCACAATATTAAACTAACCCACAACCCTTCATATATAATGCTGTTATTGTGATTGTACGTACAATTGTCAGATTACAAGAAAAAGAATTGTAGAGGAAATGGTGAATTGCTCCCCAAAGGGAAAATTTCGGCTATGTTTACTAGTGGAGAACATTCTCCATTTTCCATCTCCAAAAATATCAAAGAAACAAGGTAGTGCCACAACATATATATGTCAATGAAAACACGCATATTTTTAGAGAATGGAGATGACAATGGAGTGAAAATCTCAAAATGAAATCAATATGTTCTTCATTTCCCACTCCATTGTCATCTCCATTCTCCAAAAATATGTTTGTTTTTATTGACTCATGATGTGGCACTATCTAATTTCTTTGATATTTTTGGAGATGGAAAATGGAGAATGTTCTCCAATACCAAACATGGCCTTCATTTCCCTCCCTTTTACTATACTTTGCATTTGATTTTTTTTTCTTCTTCTTTGAATCAGTTAATACTTTCGCTTAAAGTTATTATTATAAAAGCAATGAAATTGAATAAATTATATTAATAATCCATCATTTCAAAATCTTAAGACTTATGAAAGGTTTGGTATGTGGTCCACTTATATCACCGACTTGTTTAAGCATTTTCATTAAACAATGATGATATATTTGCTGTTATTATGAAAAAGATGAATATAACAAATAATGAAAAAGATCAGTCCCTAGCTAAATGAGTGTGACTTGTAAGAGATACCAAACTAGTCATGACACTTTTTATTTTGTTCCCTCATTTTCCACAAAAGTAAAAATCCAAGCTATCGCTTAGTAATATTTAGCTAAATGGTCAAAGACAAAGTGAAATTAAGTTGGAGACATTTTCCAAAGAAGATTGATTCCAATTGCTTGTCTTAATTATTATAGTATAATAAACTTAATTATTCATTACACATACGGCCATATATATAAATTTGGTCTTTGACTTGATTCAGTCGTATTTCTTTCATTAAATCAGATTGGGGGTTTGCTAATTAAGTTGGTATAAAATCACTTGGTTCTCTCACAAAATCTGCCATGCACGTGCCCCAACTGTCAACAAGGTAAATTCCAAAAGGAACGACGAAACTAACACACAAAAGGGAATAATCGTCCGATGACAGATTTGTATACCCACTTGGCTTCATTTTATTTTACTGCTATATATAGGCTCTCTCGCTATCTAACTAACCACATGACATCACTTTCATTTCATTTCAATTATCGATCAAAGCAAATTAACAGATAGAATTTTTCTACACATATTTATATTATGAACAAGAACTATTGCTCTTATTGAAAAGTCTGATTGGTTGGTTTTTCTTGAACGGTACATGAAAATCAACTTTTTTATTATCTTTTCACTTTCCTGCAGGACGTCCTTTCTATGTTTTCTTTTTCGTTTTGATTGATTGTTTATTTTTCAGTACAGATTCTGCTTCAAAATCCATATCAAAATTTGGGTTGTGGGTGCTAGCGTTTTTGGACTGTGAATGTGTACATTGCTGCATGCACTTTATAATTAGTTTTACTTAGCATGCATGAAGAATTAGAGAATTAGGCATTAAATATGATTTTGTAGTAAAATTCAGGCTTTCCATAATTTAAATAAATAAATCTAGCCCTAGCTACTCTAGGGTTAATTACTTTCTCAATAAAGGCATTGAATTTTTGGGATATGGCTTTGATTATATTATTATAATTAATTAATTACTAATAAGTTGGTGCTTATTGCTAATTAATTATAATAATACTGTAGTAATTAAAAATGTACTAGATAGCTAGGGAAAAGAGGGGAACAAGGTTAAAAGACAGAGAGCTGACAAAGGCAGTGAATTTTTGGAAGTGTGAGCAGTCGTCTGGATGTGGGCTGACTTTTCCTGCTAACCCCTTAATCATAATCTAATGATGTTTTTGCTTTCTGCCTTTGTTTATAATTTAACCTTTGGAGTTTTGCTGTTGAACTGTGGCGGCACCAGAATATTCTCTCCTTCTCCAATACTCCTAAAAAGCCTTCAACTTTCAATTTTTGAGTTAATTTATGTTTTGAGAGATTCCTATTCAAACTTTCAAAGTCCCCCCGAATACAGCTTTCATGACTTCCCTCTCTCTCTGATCTGTTTGGGCCTTGGGGTCAAAAAAATTACTGACAAATTGATATTATAACCTTAATGTCTAATTTAAGTTAGAAAACATATATATAGGCAATATATAGATATAGTATATAGTTTTAAATTAAAAAAAGGGAGAAGAGTTTAGCTACTGACAAATTGATATTATAACCTTAATGTCTAATTTAAGTTAGAAAACATATATATAGGCAATATATAGATATAGTATATAGTTTTAAATTAAAAAAAGGGAGAAGAGTTTAGCTAGGGAAAAGCAAAATGTTGTCACCAAGGGCATGTTTGTTTCTCTGTTTGTCTTTTACTTTGAAAAATATGAAGGATACTTGTTCTTGTTTTATAGTATAATAATAATTGTTTGTGCATATTGCATAATTCAAACAAACATGTTGATCATATCCAATTCAAAGTATTTGATATGATATGTACCTCAGCTCCCAAACACAGTTTCCTTATTCTTTAATTGATTTATTAATTCTATTCTTTCCCTCTTTTATAACCAATTTTTTCATCCCATTTGGGCATTATGTACCAAAAAAAAACACTGCTGAGCTTCATGTAATGTACATATATAATGTAATTATCCTTCCAAGGAATGAAATAAAGAACAAAACTCTGTCGTTTAGCTTAAAATTGAAAAGAAATAGAAAAAAAAAAGAAAAATCTCCTTTGATTAGATTATTATATAAATTAATTAAGACAATATATATAGATAAGCTTGCCACTTGGTGTCTTGTTATTCAATAGATTTCAGCCTTTCAATTAAAAAGCTTGCCACTTGGGGTATATAATTAAAGGGTTCGGCTCCCCTCCAATACTATCAATATCCAATGATATCCAACAGATATCTAGATTAGTGACACCTCATAAATATAGCTTCAACGGTTTAGATTAAAACATAGATTTAACCAAGGTTTTAAAAACCGGATCGGTGATGGAACCGGCAGAAGTCCAGTCGACGGTCCGACCGATTCAACCGGTCCAACCGCCGATCCTATTTGGAAAGTTTAATTGATGTGAAAACAATATGTTCAAATACCACTAACAACAAACTTTTTAAAATTTTAAGTCAAAGTCAACATGCCTATAACCCTAACTCACACTGTTTTTTTTGGCCATAACCCTAACTCACACTGTTATCTAACTTTTTTTTTTCTCCGTTCCCTCAATTCCTTATTTCTTTCAATGTCAGTTCAAAGGAAAAAAAAAAAACAGGCAGCAAAACCGAGTGCCAAAAGGGAAAAATATTAGCAAAATCCCGATAGATTAGCTCTCTATAATGAAAATCTTCTCTGAAAATCAGGTGATTATATTTTTCCCTTTCTTATCCAAGCTTTATCTTGGATTTTTTTTTGGCCAAAAGCTTTATCTTGGATGAATGTCCGTAAAACTTGTCAATTGAGATTTGAGACAACTTCATCTTTACTCAATACTCTGCTTCAAGTTAATATATTCAACCAAAAAAGCATCACAATAGCTAGTTATGGAATCTTTTGTTGTCAATCCATGGTTCTTATGAGCTTGCCAGCAAAAATGAATGATAGTGCTAATTGATAAATGTTGGTTTAGCAAACACCTCCACTTCTCTCTTGATTGGAAGGTCGTTTTTTCTCTGGTGTTAAAGCTCTTTTATTTTTTAATTTCTCTGAACTGACGCCAATGAGAGAGGGAAGGAAGAGAGAAAATAGAGTAAAAAAATAAGTAAATAAGGTTCGATAACAGTGTGAGGTGTAGGGTTAATTCTATGCTTTAATCTAAACCGTTGAAGCTATATTTATGAGGTCTCACTGATCTAAGTGTGTATTGGATATCATTGGATATTGATAGTATTGGAGGGGAGCCGAACCCATAATTAAGGTATTCAAAGTTTAATCTTGTATATAATTGAGCGCCGATCTTAGATTGGGGGAGAGCAGCAAACCAACCGCCCCTGAAACAACCTTTAGAAAAGGGTCAGGTTCGAAAGGGAAGCAAGAAGTAGGAGGGATTAATTCGGACTCCAATAAGAGGAACAACTTCCATGTAACTACTTGGTTAATTAATCGGGCTTAATAGCTTAATCCCCGGGAGTTTCTACAATTTGATAATTTTTTTTGAGAAACAAATCATTCATTCATTCACAAATCAGGATTACAAACACGTGGAGGCACTCCACACCAAATATAATTAGCACCTACTTCGCAACCTAAATGTGCTAAATTATGAGCAAATTTATTCCCTAATCTACTAACATGCCTAAAAGAACAAAACTCAAAAAAAGAGGCCATATGATGAATCTGATGAATCAAAATGCCTCCCTCCCATAATGAAGCTTGCTGCCTATTAATTTCTAAAATGGCCAAAAGTGAATCGCATTCAACCATACATGAAGTAAAACCATAACGCAAAGCCAAGATCAGACCAAAGCGCACTGCATATACTTCTGCATACATCGGATCCATCACCTTATCAATACGAGTAACAACACTTAGCACTACAGCACCAGTTTCATCTCGAAAGACCACCCCTAAACCTGCTTCCTCCCGCTCCGCATTGAAAGATGCATCGGTATTCAACTTCAATTTTCCGGCTGGTGGTGGAGACCAAACATGATGTGAGAAATTTACATTCATAGAAGCACCGCGCTGACTCAATGCCTCAACATCATGGACCAATTTGGCTGCCATCTGACATAAAGAAGAAGGTGTTTTACAAACACCATCATGTAATGCCTTATTTCGATTAAACCATAAACACCAAAGCAGAGTACCCACCAATTCAAGCAGCCCTAGTTGAGCAGCTTTCAACAGCAGATTCTCCCAAAAATCATTACTAGCCTACCAAGAATTCAAATAATGAGGTAACCAAGGACATGCTAACTCCCACACTTTTTTACTCAGAGAACATTCGAAAAAAATATGAAACCATGAAGACTCATCACCTAGACACACTTCACAATTTCCTCCAATTGGAAGTCCCCTTAGCTGTAGCTGTGATTTCGTTGGTAAAATATTATTGATCAATCTCCATAAAAAGTACTTAATCTTCGGTAACAGCAATGATCCCCACACAATCCGCCATTTAACCGATATTTCTTCCCTGGAAATCACTTGTTTGCCCAACATATTACGAGCAGCATAGTACCCACTTCGCACTGTATACTGACCAGTAGTAGTTCCACTCCAAATCAAAGTATCAGGAGTAGGCCGATAAGGGAGTGGAATACACAAAATATTATAAACATCCTCAGGTTCAAAAAGCTCCTCCAGTTGAGGAATAAGCCAATGACCATCATTATCAATTAAAGCACTCACCGGGCAAGGAGAACAAATAACCCCTGATCTTGGAGTTGGCATATGATCAGAAGACTTACCAATCCATCGATCTCTCCACACATCAACATCTAAGCCATTACCAATCCGCCACTGACTTCCAACCCGTATCACCTCTCTACCCGCCATCAAGCTTCTCCAAACAAATGACGGATTACTCCCCAATTGTGCTTGCATAAAAGATGAATTACGGAAGTACCTAGCCTAGAACATACGAAAACATAGTGAGGTCTTATCATGAATCAGCCTCCAACATTGCTTAGCAAGCAAAGCAAGATTGAAGACTTCAAAATCCCTGAAGCCTAACCCTCCATCTAACTTTGATAAACACAAATCGTCCCATGCTTTCCAATGAATTTTCCTTTTTCCATCAGTACTACCCCACCAAAATTTAGCAATTAGCATATTCAACTCATGTAAGAAGGACTTAGGAAAACGAAAACAACTCATAAGATAAGTGGGAATGGCCTGAGCCACAGATTGGATCATAACAGCTTTACCAGCTATCGAAAGTAGTTTTCCATGCCAGCCTTGTAATCTCTTCCATAATCTATCCTTTATAACCTCCAATTCCAAACGCCTAGACTTGCCTACCATAATAGGCATACCCAAATATTTATCTCTAAACAGAATCTTTTGCACATTCAGATTCTGCATGATCATCTCACGGAGACTATCTTACGTATTTGCACTAAACATTACCGCAGATTTATCAATGTTAATCTGTTGGCCCGAAGCCAACTCAAAAATACGCAGTAAATTCTTAATAGCATCACACTCTCCTAAAGAAGCCCGCAAGAAAAGGAGGCTATCATCTGCAAAAAATAGATGCGAAATACAAGGAGCATTTCTAGCTACCTCTACTCCATGAATATCACCTATCCGCTCCGCATGCTGCAGTAAAGATGAGAAACCTTCCATACACAGCAAAAATAAATATGGTGATAATGGGTCACCCTGACGGATTCCACGGCTTGGAACAATCCTCCTTGTTTGTACACCATTAACTAAGATCGAATAAGAAACTGTTCTTACACATTGCATTACCAAATGGACCCATCTCGTCGAAAAGCCCATCCGAGACATGATACCTTCCAGAAAAATCCATTCGACGCGATCATAAGCCTTACTAAGATCAAGCTTCAAGGCCATATGATTCTCATTCCCCCGGCGTTTATTCTTCATGTAATGCACCGTTTCAAAGGCAATCATAGAACAGTCAAAAATCATCCTTCCTGGCACAAAAGCACTTTGATTTTGCCCAACAATACTCGGCAAGATCTCTTTCAACCTATTTGTGAGTGTTTTAGAAATGATCTTAAAGATGACATTACATAAACTAATTGGTCTCAAGTCCTTAACAGTGACTGGATTAGCTACTTTAGGAATCAATACCACATTAGTATCATTGATATCTAACAAAGACTCCCCATGATTAAGGAACGACAAGGCCATATCACAAACTTGATCACCAACAATATGCCAAAAACGTTGATAAAATAAATGAGACATACCATCTGGTCCTGGAGCCTTGGAAGGAGCCATGTCAAATACTGCAATTCGAATATCCTCCTTAGTGAATTCACGATCCAATGATGCAGCCATATCAGGAGAAATACACCTATCAACCCAATACCTGATCAATTTGATCTAATGTTGGGTTACCAGAAGTGAAAATATCCCGAAAGTAATCAAAGACTAAATTCTCTACAGCTGGCTGCTAAGTATGCCAAACCCCAGTACTATCCTGTAAAGTAGTGATCCCATTCCTTTGCTTTCGATTAGAGGCAATCCGGTGAAAAAACTTGGAATTCCTATCACCTGCACGCAACCAATTCGTTTTAGCCCTTTGCCTCCACATCAATTCCTCTCTATCATATAACTCGTTCAAGTCATCTAAACACTCATGCAAAGGTCTTGTTTCTCCTCCACTTTGAGCCTCCATGTATAATTCATGAAGTTCTCTCTTCTTCCGCCTAATAGAATGCTTGATATTACCAAAAATATTTGTATCCCAAGACTGTAAAGCCTCACTGCAGCACTTAATTCGTCTCATAATATCACCATTTATCTCCTTGCTCTACCCCTCCTTGACAACTGCTTCAATCTCCGGGTGATGTAACCACATATCCTCAAAACGAAACCTTTTGCCTCTTCTCAACATAATCTATGGCCTATCTAAAGCATGAATTAACAGGGGCAAGTGATCCGATGCCGAAGAGACTAAAGTTTGGACAAAAGAAAAGCCAAATCGATTTATCCAATTAGCCGTACCAAAACAACGATCCAATTTTTCAAAGACCATCTCCCCTCCTTGTCGTCGAGACCAAGTCATTACAGGCCCTGTTACCGCAAGTTCTTGGAACTCACATGCATCCACCGCTTCACGAAAACGTTGCATCTGGATTTGAGGCCGCAACGCACCCCCAATTTTTTCATCATTTGTAAGCAACTCATTGAAATCCCCTGTGCAAAGCCAAGGCATTTCATATTGTGTAGCCGAAAGCTTAAGCAAATTCCAAGACTCTTGTCTTCTACTAGTCTCTGGCTGGCCATAAAAGCCAGTAAAACGCCGACAATTATTCAAATCCAATCCCACTTGAGCATCTATATGGGACTTTGAGAAAGAAAGAATAGAAACACGACAAGAATTTAACCAAAGCAGGGCTAAACCCCCCGCTCTCCCAATACAAGGAACTGTAAAACAACAATCGTAGCCCAACAAACACCTAATTCTTTCCATTTCATTACTAGATTTTTTAGTTTCAGACAAAAATACTACAGAGGGTTTATTACACTTTATTAACTCTAGCAAAATATGAACTGCTCGAGACCCTCCTAACCCTCCGCAGTTCCATACAAATAGATTCATGGCTCTCGGCAGAGATGGTGTTCTCTACCCATCTCCGCCGCTTGAGTGTTGTTATCATCCTGCTGATCACCCTCATCCCTTCCATCTCCTGCAAGAGCATGCTCCCCAACAGCTTCATGAGGAACATAAATATCATCACCGAAATCATCATTCTCCTGTCCAGCTAAAGCACAATTTCCTTCCCTCGATCTCTTATAAAACATTGCTTCATGACCACCACCAATGGAAGAATTCGAATTCCGCTTCTGACCAACCTTGAAATTGGAGGCAGGTCCTAAAGCTTCAAACGAATACCGTTGCGAAACCCTAGCTGCTTTCTTCCATCGCCTTATCCTCCTTGCTGGCGTAGTTGATGTCGCTCCGAACACAAAAGTTGATAATTGAGTTGAAGAGCTCTCGGCAACAGAAATATAAGACTCAGCCCTTTTAGGGCCAGCATGAACAGTAGGCTGCAAGCACTGCGATCCAACAGCTTGACCCAATAAACCCAGACCACCTCCCTCCCGATTTGGGCTGATAATAGAGACCCTCCCTAATTGTTGATTTGGGCCACTAGCAGAAAGCCCAACTCCCGGAATAATATGATTGAGACCTGCAGAATTAGAAGCCACCACAACAGATTTCAACTTCTTGCCCGTAGAAGGCGGTGTTGAGGACTCCCCAATTTCCTCATTCATATTATTCAGCAACAAAATCCCTTTAGGATCGCCACATAACCGTTTGTTACACCTAGGATTCTCTTTTGAAGTTGTCAAAAGACCCTCCTTCCCCAAGACTCGGTCCTCATCCCTACCACCAAGTTCCACGTTGTGCAACTGTCTAGAATTTACCTCTCCTTCTTCCTGATTTTCGAGCAACCATTCCCGTAGGAAATTGGGAGATGATTTCGCAAGATACATCGGCAGTTTGAATTGCACGGGCCGCCAGCCGAGACCGGACCACCATGCTATCAACATTATTCCGATAAGCTCTTGGCCTGCTAGAAACTGAACCTGAAACCCCCTGATTCAATCTCTGCGACTGCCGACTGCTACCTACTCCACCAGAGCCCAGGCGGAAACTGCTAGACATCCCTGGAGACTGTCGTGGCTTGATGTCAGGAACCTCTGCTCTCAATTGATCAGTAAACCTTTTGGTTATAGATCCCTGAGTTTTGAGCATTATAACTCCCAAAGGACAATCCGAATCCAAATGAGTAAGTATCCCACATACCCTGCAAAAGGCAGGTAGCTTTTCATATTTGAATCGCACAGGCAACTCACCATGAGGAGTTGAAATAGTTGTGCCTTCCTTCAATGGTAGCTCCACTCGCACTCGCAAATACCTCCCACAAGACTCATCAACCTCCAATACAACTCCCATCGATTCTCCGATTGCTTTCCCCACTCTGTCAGTCATCATCAAAACAGGCACATCAAAGATCCTCATCCAGTAAGGACAAGAGTCGAAACTGATGTCCTCCGGCGATTGCAATCCACCAAAGTCCCTTAACACCAATAATGCTCTGTTAAAGCACCATGGTTGAGTAACCAAAACCCTATCTCGCTCAACTTCATCCTCAAATTGAAAAGAGAATAAGTTATCTCCTACCTCTTTGACCACCATATCCCCTTCAACTTTCCATGCCTGGAACATGGCAACCCGCAAGCCCTCTAAATTCACCTTCCTCTTCGAATAGAGCCTCCCGAGAAGATGAAACCAAGCTAATTCACCGTCCTTTTCCTCCAACCAGTCATTATCAGTGACTATAACCTTATTGTCCTCCTGATTTGGCTCTTCTTGGAGTGACAACTTCGAACAAAGATTTGACAAAGTTCCCATGACAGTACAAAAATTCAAAGAAATAAAAGAGAACAAGGAAAGCAAAAGATGCCAGAAAAGAGAATTTGAACTGAGGAAACCAAAAGGAAAATTTGACTACCAACACCAGGGAATAGAAGTCATCAATTTAAACAAAACCCCAACAAACCCAACAAATACAAATCCAATTTGAAATTCAAAAAGATGATAAGCTGAAGAAATCACATTAACAACAGAAATATCCTTATAAAATCGATAAGATTTTAAGGAAGATATCTTGTACAAAGACAAGGAAGAATCCCTACCAAAGAGACCATGGAGGGAAGGACTGAAAAAACGAGAAAGGACCCAGGCAGGCATTCTTGACTTAAACATAAGCTTTCGTAGTTCACATTCAAAGAGAACAATATCAATGTAGTTAAACTTTTTCTTATTTAAGCCATTTATTACTATTATGCTTGCTTTCTTTCGGTTATACTATGCAGTGCAAATTTTCAATTCAATTTGATAATTTTTTAGTATTGAGTATATATCTCTCATAGCTAGATTTACTATATTAAAAGTATATACTATAATCTACAACAAAAATTGTCGCCCTTCTCTAAAAAAACAAAAATTGTTGCCCCTATGAAATTAGTGACAAAAATACCCACTAATAATTTTTTGCAACAAAATTACTTACTAATAATTTTTTTTACCAACTTATTGTCACGGTTCGTGGCTAGACTGCATTTGTCTTATATAGTATAGGCTCCAATGTTTTTAGTTTTTATACGTAGTGCAGTTTTATTGGTCTTGGCAGCAAAATAGTTGAAACTTAAAATTTTTTTTTTTGGTGATAAGTTGAAAGTAATTCGAAGATCAGTATTAAATTATTAATTAATCTTGGGAATAAATATATTATAAAAAAATTAAGTAAATTGTTCTTCGTTACTTTTTGAAAACTATATATATATATATATACGCAAACGAGGGCAGATTTGGATCTAAGAATCCATTTTTCAGAAACCCACATGCTTTGGCTTATAAAAAGTTGGGAATATATACCTTTCTCCATGGAAACCCAGTTTATGTATATATATGTATATATTTTTCTTCTTTTCTCTTTATACCTTTTATTTTTTATTTATTATTTTGCGATACAAATTAATGGCACAACCTAGATGGTATCCCTGACATTTTATAACAGGAACTGAAAGGCAACATATGAATATTCTTTTGGATTTGAAGTCGATCGGGATAATAATACTTTAGATAAACAATAACAATGTTTTTCTTAATTTTATATTAAGGATTTGAAGTCGGTATATACTCAAGAAATCATGGGTATGTTTTTATTATTATTATTATTCCATAAAGGCTAAAGGAATTAAATTGGATTCAATTACATATATCTTGCTTTCAATTAATTTTGTGTGCAGATGCCTTCTCTGTGTCATCTCATCTGGCACTCTTAGAAATTTAAAATTAATATTAAAAAAAGTTAATTTTTTTTGAGCCAAATTCAAAAATTAAATTGACGGTTGAAAATATATATTCGATGATTTAATTTCTTTTTTTTTTCGAAACAATGATTTAATTTCAATAAATGTTTTTTTAAGCCCATTTCATTTTCCTGTTTTATTTCACGCCCTCAAAGAATTTATTTCAGCGACCTTACACTTGCAATTTCGGATTCGGAGCTTCTTAATTTTGCTTTTGCTGAGTGTTGAAATTATTTGTTTGGTTTTTTTTTTTTTGCCAGAAAGGAGGATTTGCATTGAAAAAGAGACAAATTACAAAAGTTTTATTGCATAGATAAACAAAAAACAAAACCTCGACATCAGTAATGAGGACATTTAGAATAGGGTGAGCAAAATCGAGCTGCCCTAAATAAACCGACTGACATCGTCAGTTTCTGGTCAGGTGAGACAGTTTAGGCGGTGTAAACAGGTTGGTCGGTGCACACTGATGATAAGGGTGGATTCTCGGTTGGTGATCGGGTTCGGATATGAAGACCCGAAACCGACTGAGAAATCGATTCTATATTTAAAAAAAATTGAATATATATATATATATTTATTCTAATTCATTTATGTTCTTTTATTTTTATTATTTATAATATATAATAAATACAATATATATTTAAATTATAAACATTTTAATTTTAATTCATAACTTAGAAACTATATATATTAACTTTTTTTTTCGTTTTTCTAATTTTCTTTCTTTTAGTCGAAAATAGGAAGTTCCTAATATTCACAACCTGATTTCAACTTCCCATTATCAACAAAACTCCTTGATGGCTTGATCCCCGTTATTGATTGTTGAATATTCCCATGCTCCCTCAGCATAAGTTTCTCCCCAAATCTCTCCCTTTCTCTATCCAAAAAATTCGAGCAAGATTATCTCCAATAACTTCCATAAATCTCTCCCTTTCTCTACCCAAATCCCACACTCCAATGACTTCCATACTAATGCCTATTGTTTTCTTCCCAATCCCGCAATACCCGCCCCTTGATTAACCATTTCTTTTGCAACTGTAATTGCCTTGTTGTTCCGGCCAGCAACCATCATAGCACTGACGAACAAAGCTCAGTTTGTTCTTCGTCCAACAACGACGCTATTCGACCCCCTCTGATTTCTCCGACACCAATAACGACCGAAAACGAACTGAAACCGACAAAGTCGGTTTCCACCGGTTCCATGGGCAGTCGGCTCGGTGCTCGATGTAAAAAAAAGACTTTCAGTTTCGTCGATTTTGGCACAGTCATTGACCGACTACACCGAAACCGACCTGATGCTCGCCCCTAATTTAGGATATGCCTCCTGAAACTAGGGTGAAGAACTAAGGCTAATGAGGACAAGGAATGTCATCCTTGTTCAAGATGCGCACCAATGAGGTCTGTCGACCCATGTCATGAGATCTATCCCCATGTTGTACTGCTTTGCAATCCAGGCAGCAACATTGTTCACTTCACGCTTCACCAGTGATACCTTGGCCTCCTTGAAAGACATCCGATAGTTTTTGATGTCTTCGAAAATAGTACTAGTCTTCCAAGCAATCAAACCATCTTTTCTGTTGATGTCGCCATTGATAGCTGCAGAGTCAGATCCGATAACAACTTTCTCATACCCTTTTTCTTTAGCCAATCTGCACCCATCCTTAACTGCAAGGGCTTCAGGTGTTAGAGCCTCATAAGCAAGGACTCTTCTTCCAAATCCCTCTACCATCTGGCTATTTTTATCTCGGTCACAACTCCAGTAGCAACTTTACTTCTTTTGGCGTCAAAGCTTCCATTACAGTTCACATTTACCCAATCCCTGTTCTGGAGGCTGCCATTTTTTCCTATATTGTTCATCTATGTTTAGTGATGTTGATCTTACAAAAAGTTTGACCTTTCTAAACTATACAAGGTCATTCACCTCTGTTGCTATCCTACGCAAAGTAGACATGACATCTATGCTCATTTTACATATGGTAAACTCACATCTAACTCTCCATATATACCAACAGGTAAAAGCAATTTGTACCTTTAGCAATTTGTACCAATAGGTGGAATATCTTGGCTTGAGCTAGACGAGGTTCTTGGCTGGAGCTGTTGGATGTGTCAAGCATGGATTTTTGGAATAAGTTGGGTGTGGTTTCTTGGTTTGCATCATTGGAAGTGTCAAATGTGGATTCAGTGGAAGAGGTGGATACAGTGATGTTGCATTAGCATTTTAGGGGAGGCGGCCAATGAAGAGTAGTTTGATGTCTAATTACACAAGTGCTTCGAGTTCATGGACATTACAGACACAAGTGCTCCACAAATTCTTCAGATTCCTCACAAGTACTACAGATTGGAGATTGAACTATCTTCCTTTTCCATAAATTCCAATTTACTGCCAAAGAACCTGTACAAAATCTTCATAAAAAAATTCTTTATCTTGCTAGGTACCTCTAATTTCCAAATGGTTCTCCACAAAAGGGGGTTGTTTTGTCTTGATGAGGAATGTGCAATAGCCTGCTCTCTGTCATGAGCTTCTTTGAGGACTTTATAACCTGATTTAGTAGTGTAAGTTCCATTTCAATCTTTTGGCCAGATCATTGTTCCATTATCTTGTCTCGAACTAAAGTGGATCTTTTGAATAACCTCTATTGCTTCATGTGAAATGCATTGTCCCATTTCTTCAACTTTCCATGACAGGTTCTCGTTGTCAATCCAATCCTCCACCTTCTTGGGGAAGTAATTTCCCCCTGCAAATTCAAGTTCAATTCTGCCATTGTTGAAGTTTGGTATCCACCAATCTTCCCAAATGTGAACATCTGCACCATTCTTAATTTGTCAAATCAAATTATCCTTTAATTTGCCAAATCAAATTACTTGGTTGGTTCAATTCACCAATTTTCGCTACTTCGTTTTCTCACTTTGGATAGAGTTGCTCTGTTATCCTACATTCTTATGCTCTGTTGGTGCAATTTTCTTCTCTGATTGTTGCAAGCAATTGTTTCTCTATCATTTTTTACTATTGACTTGTCCTTTCATTGTATATATTCAACTCAGAATTCGATTTTAATTTGGTTCAGTCAAATATTTTTTTTTTTGCGCTTTCTCATTATAATAATTGTGTGAGTTTTTTTTTCTTTTTTTTTTAAAATTCAAAGATTTTCATTGTTTCTTCCATATTTGTTTTGTTCATTCTTAATTCTTGTTTTATGAAAACGTTTTTGTGCTTTAGACTTTTATTTTTGGGGACTTCGCAAACTTTTAGTTCACACTTGCTGGTTTTGTTTGTGAATGGTTGTATATTTTGAAGTTTACCGATTGTCTGTTGCTATTTGTTTTTTCCTTAAACTGCTCTGTGTTTTGGTGCAAGTAGTGTTTGTAAAAATTATAAGAAGGGAGGTAAATTCTTCTGACATGGCAATAGGCCACTAAGGATATTTGAGAGCTTGTGAGATGCATGTTAGTTTAAGCGAGCAAAGGGGTGTGTGTTTAGTGGTAAGATTTAGGAATTTTAGTTTGAAGATGTTCATGGAGCGAGTGGTCATGGGGTGG